GCTGCAAAATTCATTTTTAAATAGTTTTGTAGTTTATGTTTTATTAAAATTCGTAAAATTGTACTCTCCTTGCCTCAAAATGCTATCATCTTAAATTGGGGACACAAATTTCTGTTGTAAATTGGTCATCACACAAATGTACTTGTCCGTGTATACATACATAGTTTCTTTACTTATTGCAAATCGCAAATTTTTGAATGGCTTTTATTTTCGCGAGTCGCTTGAGTGGTACTTAAATGAATTCCTGCTCAAATTCTGAGGATATATATATATGTACATATGTAGATATGTATGTATGAATATGTATAATAAGTTCGTGCAGAAAGGCATTAATTCAAAATTTAAAATTTTTAAATTTTTTGATGCTGGAGTACTTACATATGTACTAAAATTGTACACAGTTCGTATACATATGTATATGTATGTATGCATAAAAGATATTTGTTTCTAATCTATACCGCAAAAATCTAATTATATGTATGTTCTATGCTGAAATACTTTTTATGTATTTTCTGTGAAATGTGAAATTTCAAGTTAATATACTTTCGAAGATCGCGTGCCATATGAACCTTCATTCAGCCGTGTAGTTGGTGCGTGTGCACTCCATTTATGCTATTTAGTCTTATTATGTCGGCATCTTTGTATCTATAGACATTAGGGTCGCCCAAAAATGCATGTCTAAAAGTAAAGTCGGAATTTTGCTGCTCTCAATCCCTAGGGTTCTTCTATACAAAAAAAAAAAAAAAAAAATAAACCCATTTTTTATTTTGAAATCAATAAATATTTAAAGTGCGCTCAAAGCGCTCAAAGTTGTCCATGTATTTTATATGGGAAAAACACAAATTTTCCTTGAAATGGTATAGAACTCTTAAAGCTCAATATTTTTCGATCGGATAACTCTGTTGCTCTGCAGGAGATTCCCAATAATAATACCCAATTGTTTATTTAACAAATTTTTCATAGTAACTATAATTTATAGGTCCGCCAAAAACCCGCAAATACTACGAAAAATGCAATGGGAGGACCAATAAAAAATCGTTAGTATTAAAAAATGGTTAAATAAATATGTGGGTATTACTAATGAAAGTCTCCTGAAGAGAACCTGAGTTGTCCGATCGAAAAATATAGATTTTCAAGGAAACCGAGAAAGGCCGTTTTTCCCATATAAAATACATGGGAAACTTTGAGCGCTTTGAGCGACCTCTTAAATATTTTTGGATTTCAAAATTAAAAAATAGAAGTATCCTTTTTTCCATATAGGACAATCCTAGGGGGTGAGAGCATTGAGATTCCGACTTTACTCTTTTTGGACCAGCCTAATACGCATACATACATATTTACCTACATACTACGTAGTTCAAATTGAAACTTGCGTTAAATTGATTGCATTTATGATCGCGTTTGTATGAATTAATGCTGAATATTCAATTAAAAAAGTGTATGAATTGACCATTGATGAGAGTAAATTCACATCTGTCATACTTGATAGGAGGTCAGCCAAAGTTCAAATCCGTTTGTGGTACGTAATATTTTTACGTAAAAAAAAAAAATTAGGAAGCAGAAGCAGAGCTTATTGCGAAAAAAGGTGGAATGTAAACTACATATTGAGACGGGATACTTTTATCAAGCCACTTTAATGAGACACGTAGTGCTATACGATTGTTTAATATTATTTAAAGACCGTAGCTATTATTTGCATTTAAAACCCAACTAATAATAAAAAAACGAGCGATTTACTTTTAAAATGGCTCGATGTGTCTTATTAAAATGACAGCGATTTTAAGAATGATACAAAGCGGAATGCTTAGTCGTTACAGAAATTCATTGATGGTCACGTGTAAAAGATAATAAAACGGCCGTTTGATACATACGTATATATCTATGTACATTAGACTGCATCACTCCATTTCCAAAAAAAAAAAATCGGTACTGTTTTCCCGTTAGGATTATAAATTCTATTATATTTTAAGACTTGCGCCAAAATATTTCGGTAAGACTACTAAGATTTACGCGAGGTGGACGGATTGGAAAATATTGTTATTGAGCTTTGTACCACGATTATGTTTAAGTAATGCGGTTTTTGATGCTGGGTTTTAACTTTTTTTCAAACAAAAAAAATTTGCCGTACATCGCTGAGTTTAAAGTATTAGTTCTGTTCGTCGAGAAAAAGATTTTTACGAATTTGTACGAACTATCATGATTCTTACGCAAATCGCGGTCGTGCAGAGCAAAAAATTATCCATCACTCAAGAGAGTAAAGTGACGGTGTCCTGGAGAGAAGTTGCAAATTTTTGCTGGACAAATTTTAGCCAGCAAGAATTTGCAATCGCGAAAAACATATGATTGTGTAGAACGGGTTACTTAAGGTTAATGACCTTTGGAACAAAAAAAAAATGTCTCCTCGAGGCAAGAACAACGCTATATATACCACTTTAATATCCGACTGTAAATGCCGAAAATATGACGAAAAATGTAAAAAGACCCCCACGTTCGCAAAAAGAATCGAAATTGCCTAGCAAAAATACTTTAGGACACAAGAGTGTGCGGCGAACTTTTTTTCCGGTGCGGCCTAATGTACATACTTGCATACTACATATACAGCCAGCATCAAAAATATATGCATACCCTGACGTTTTGACGATTTTATCTGTTTCTATTTTCCGTAAAAAATGTTTCTTATTTTAAAGGAAGAAACTGCGAAACACCCTCGGCAAAAAAAAAAAAAATCAAAAATCAACGAAAATTTTTGAAACTTGCTCTTGATTATACTAAAATTTAATGGGCGACAAAACTGCATACTCCAAATTTTCTAAGAAATCGAGTTGAACAAAGCAAAATTTCGATGCAAGTCTCTTAGTATTTCTTGCATTTTTCCCCCGAGTTGTGTGTGAAATTAAAATAAAATTATTCTTGTCGTTTTCGCTGTTGAATGAACTACATATATTATAATAAAAAAATATGAAAAATATAAATAAATAAAATCGGCAAAACGTCAGGGTATGCATATATTTGACGCTGACTGTATGTATTATTTGTTCTCGCTCATATGGCGTGATAAGATCGGAATTGCGCTGGAATATAAATAAAGGCAAAGGTTGAAAGTATGCAACACCTTGGAATATGTAAGAGGGTAAGAAAAAATGGAATGTGCGGGATTTAATGGGTCAGTCAGGAGCAGAGTTGGGCAAAATATCTGATTTTCTACGTAATACGATGTTTCAAAAAAAGTAAAAGGGGGATTTAACAGAAATCACGAAATCAGCGTTAATGTGCGTGAGCTTGATCGTTGCGTCTAGTACCATGAATTTCCAGATAATTTTATGTCGTGAACAGTGTAAGTTTCGCCAAGCCATGTGATTCCATCTCCCTGTTTACATTCATAATAGTAGCTCTGATCTAGTACTCCATGAACTTACAGGTTTTTACACGAACTTACAGGAAGTTACAGGAAAAATGATACCGTACTCCAAATTCCTCCATAATCCTGTAAATGAGAGCGATTTTTGGAGAGTTGTGTAGAGAATGAAGTTGCAAGATTTTACCCGAACTTTTTCTTCTGGTAAAACCATGAAAAGTGTCCAGTGATCACTGGTTGACGTTTTTACAGGAAAAATGTTTTTTTTTTTTTGTTCCCGTACTTTTTGTTGTTACTCACTTTTTACTCTCACTTCAGAGAGTACTTTTGCTGTTTGACATTTTTACAGGATTTTGCACGAAAAGTATTGGATCAGAGCTAATATCGAACAGATTGGCGCTTACACATGTTAGTGTTTGGCCGAGCTTCTCCTCCGATTTGTGGCGTGCGCCTTGATGTTGTCTCACAAAGGGCACTGTAGGCCCAGTTTTACGCCAGCTCCGAATGGCGATTTTATTTTTATGAGAAGCTTTTTTTTTAATGGCAGAAATACACTCGGCGGTTTGGCATGGCTTGCCGACGCGACCGCTTAAAGAAATAACTTTTTATTTTTTATTTTTTTGATGTCGGTCGGAAGCTGACGAAAAAGACGTTGGTTTTTTTTCGAAATTGCCTTGCAAAAATCCTTTACACTCCTACCAAATGTATGTACAAATGATGTGTCTGTATATCGTCCGTTGGGTCATAGAGATGTCTTCTGACGTGCCCGGGACTGCTCAGCTACAAACAGGTACCGGTTTGGATGCTTCTGGCGTAAATGACAAAGTAACAGAGAATCAAAACCAGCTTTCTTAGTTGAAACAATTGAATTTTTTGACTAAATTGAAGAACATTTTTTTAAGCCAGATCTTAATAATCCAGCTTTTTTGAAACCTATTTACGTTAAAAAATTTTTCCGAATATTGCATTAGAAATTTGATTTTTTCTGCAAGCAAACGCGAACGCTTATATTTTGCGTTTCTTTACAATTTAAGGGTATTTACTAAAAATAGAGTTTCCAACTCGGATGTTGTTTCCATACAAACATACATACATATGTACTAGTGTTGGGAAGTATCGAGTACCTTTGAGGATCGAGTTCTTTGGTATCGATACTTTTAATGATCGGATATTTTTGAGAGTACTGAGTACTTTCTTTTAAATATGCACATCTTTGTAATATTTCAATGCGTAGTGTAGAAATTTCACAATCTGGCAGCACCTCATTCAAATTAGTATTGTACTTGAAAGCTATTGAAACTTCAAATTGAGTACAATCATTTCTGAATACCGATAAATGTAAATAAAACACAGTACTTTTAAGTATCTATTCGACACTTAATACTGAGTACATTTAATCGATTCTGAGAACAGAGTATTTTTTAGTACTGAGTACATTCGAGTTATTTTTTGAGTACTGAGTTCTTTGGAGTACTCAGTACCGATACTTTTAAAAATCGAGTACGGTCGATCCTTTTGAGAATCGAGTTCGGAGTACTTTTGGTATGGATACTGCCCACCACTAATATGTACATACAAATATTTTTATTAATCTTCAGCAAATAAAGATAATAAAATATTGAACAAAAAAATTTTTGTTTTTCAGGACTGCGTATGGTATGGCGTTTGCAACAGTGATGCGTATCAGCATAAGCAATATTGTGTTTACAATGGAACTGCGAAAGTTCTGCCTGCTGATGGATTGGAGCTACTTAAAGAAAGATGCAGTCATTTGCTCGACGGTGGCGTAACTGAGTTTTGTTGCGATAGCGAACAGGTATGTACATTTGTTGGAGACTTACAACGCACCACATTCTTCATTCGTCGTGTGTGTGTGTGCTATTAGCGTGCTATTTGCTAATTGTATCGTCATACATTTTTTTATCTCATTTAAGGTTACAATACTGAACGATAATATTAAATTGGCTGCGAATTTTCTCGAGCGCTGTCCGTCGTGTATGGCAAATCTTGTGCGTCATTTATGTGACTTTACGTGTTCACCCAAACAATCAGAGTTTACGAAAGTTGCTGAAACTGCTATCTCAGCGAATGGTGAGTTCAGTAGCAATATTTCTCGGTTTGTTAGGCAATGTCTCACTTAAATACTATTTATATCTATGTAGGCAAAGTTTACGTTAATGCATTGGATTTACATATAACTGCTGCATACACAAATAATACGTACAAATCATGTTCACAGGTAAGTTTTAGATACTTTTTTTTTTTAAACTAAATATTTAAGATTTTGATAAGAACTTACAAAAGTGTTAATGGCACTAATGGTGTTAATGGTATACATATGTAACAATGTATACATATGTAACATATGTTTTGCACAAAAATAATATAATAATAGGTCACTTAACGCCCTCTTATGTACAATATACAATAGTCAACACCCCTATTGTCATTAGAATGGTTAGAAAATATCTTGCAATACTAACTTCAAATGATTATATCTTTTCGGCCCCAGAAAAATCTTCACAAAAAACAATAATGTGCTCGAGACTGAAATTTTGTAAAGGCTACAGGAACAAGGGAATCAGATTTTGGAACAATGTAGGAAACGGTTGAACAAAAAAAAATATATATATGTATTAGCGTGGTCCTTCAAAATATCAACATCTAAATTTTGTATGGGGCACACGCATTTATTTTGTTCTACGTATAAAATAAAGACATACACGAAAGTTCAAATTTAAAAACTTTGAGGCCGCCACCAGGGTGTGAAAAAAAGTGATAAAAGTACGTTGCACTTTATTACTGATGCAGTAAAATATGTTCGAAGGCACCCGAGAGAAGAGCTGTTTTCTTAGTGCATCAAACTAGGCATAAAACTCCATCGGTTGATGTGCGGGGAGCTCTTCATTTTGTTGGAGGTTTTATGAGACAATATTTGACACAGAGAGTAACGACGAATATTTTTGTATGCAGTATGGTGGCCCGAAAACTTTCCTCCCTCAACCCTATCGAGGACGTCTGGCTAACCCTAAAATACCTCGTGTACCTCCGTAGTCAAATATTCCAGTTTTAAAAGAAAACATCATTGAGTTGTGGCAAAATGAAAGTATGCCTTATGCTAAAAAAATAAACTGTGTTCCAAAAATTTTAAACTACGTATATGCTATTTTAAGACGGGCTCATGGAAGCTATGTCCGTAAAAGTTATGTCGGTTACCCCTCAGTTAATACACGTCGAGACAGTACGCACTTTCCTGGGCCTGTCGTTAGTTGAGCTGGATGACAACGATTGGTAGAGTAGCCGATTTATGCAGGGATTATTAATGCTGCTACAACAACAGACCGAAGTGAGCAATATTGTTTGATAAAGAAGCGCTAACTTCCCACTACAAATGCTTTTAAATCATATGAACTTAAAATTTAGTAAGCGGCATTTTTTTTTTAATATTTTTCAATGTGACACCTTTATAAAAATATCAAATTTTGTTGCTGTAATTATTTGAACCGATTCCCACATCAAAATCGAAAGTTAAAATTCGAAGAAAAATAGGTACCGTAGATTTCGCACAAACGAGCTTAAATGTAATCAAAACAAAAGTGCATCTCTATCCTAAATAGGAAATAAAGGTTTTACTATGCAAACTTTATTCTGCATATATTGCTTCGTGATTGGAATGTGGTGGGATTTGTTGGCAACCTTACCTTGAAATTTGGTCACTGATAAATCCATTTAACCTCCTAAAGCAAAAATCGTATCATTACATCTTTTTACAAGCAAATAAACTAAACCCGTTTTCAGCCGAGATTATTGATACTAAGTGATACATGCTATGTATGTATGTATTTGTGTTTAAGCGCAATCGCAATCACAAATCGCAAAAGAGATATCAACTTCTGTTCCACTTAATTTTTTCATAATATTTATGTCTGGTCAAAGTTTTCCACTGAAGAAAAATAATTACATTGATTTATATATAGACAGTTAAAAGCAACGTAGTATATTAATATACGACGCATTAGAGCTAACCAATTTTATATGGAATAGTTTAAATTTATTTCCACTTTCGATTCGTAGGCAATTTTTGCTAAAGGGAACTAAAAATGCCAGATGATGGATCAAAAGTCCAAATCTTTGAATGGTATACCACCTTAATGTAAGCACATATGAATGCCTGTACATACATACATATGTGGTTATATACATATGCAAATATGTACGTATATATATTTATGCATGAAATTAAAATGATTACGAGCGCGTAATTGGAAACGTATGCCTTTAATTGCAAATAAAAAATATTTTTAACAGATTTTTATCACACATACATTGTATATAGGTGTTTTCCTCTGTACTTTGAACAAAGCTAAAAGCACTTAGTATGTATACTAACAAGGTAATTCCGGCTAAGATAGTAGTCTTTCGTAGGCCAAATGAAAGACAGATGGCAAGATGATTCGCATGATAAAAATATTTAAAGATAGTTCGAGAGAATTTTTTGTTATTCTAGCACAACAGTCTTAGAAAAAATGCTCTCTCTTTCCCCACTCGTGATCCGAGTTCGTGTCGTCGGGCGTTGGCATTTTTTCTTCTTTTTTCTAAGTTAAATTTTTTTCTTTTTTACACTAGTTTTCTTTTCATTTTTAGATTTCATTGTTTTAAAAAAGAAACGATATATTTTTTTAATTTCGTTAAATTTTTAGAAACTGACTTTGTTTTTTTTTTAATTTAATTGGTTTTTCTTTTGCTAGTTAATTTTTTTTTTAAATTTTTTTATTTTATTTATTGTTTTTGTCTTTTTTTTCAGTTAATTTTTGGGATCATACTGATCTTATCTTTTTTAATTTAATTTTCTTTTAATTTTAAGATTTTGTTTTAAAAATAAAAATATATTTTTTAATTGTATTTAATTTTTAGTACTATGTATTTTCTTTTCTGATTATTATTTTTTAATTAAAAAATAAAAAATGAAAAAAAGCAAAGATAAAAAAACTAATTTAAAGTTAAATAAAAAAATATATTTTTTATTTAACTTTAAATTAATTTTTTTTTTGTATTTTTGCTTTATTTTCATTTTATTTTATTTTATTTCCTTTTTTAATTTAATTTTATTTCATATAATAGTTTTTATTGTTTTAAAAGAAAAGTAAATATATATTGTTATTTAATTTGATTTTTTAAAAACTTATTGCTAAAAGGCGAACAGCATAACAATAGCAGATCTTTCAATTAGTCTTTCGTCGATAGATAGTGAAGGGCTTTCAAGATAGTTGCCAGAATTGACCATTTTCTTACGAATCACTTTTGTCTTTCGAAAGACTGGTGAGTGGAAAGACAGTTGCCAGAATTGCCCTGTAAATATATGTATGTAAATGTCAATAACAAATTAGGTTTGCGCACTTTTTAGTGAAGTGTAATAGCTGTACATTAAACCGTACCAGACTAAAGTTTGTTTCCCTTTTACATTTGTAGTTATACATATCTTCCGGTATTTACAGTCGGATCTTAAAGTATGATATATCGATGTTCTTGTCCCGAGGAGAAAATTTTTTTTTATTCCAAAGCTCATTGACCGCAAGAACCCCGTAAAAACCCACCATATCTCAGATCTTATCTCCCTAACGTACTACCCTAATGCCAGTAAATTAAAGCCTGCCAAAATCGTTAAACTTCTGCTAAGGAAGAACATATTTCGATTCCAGTAGAAAAAAAAAAATATTGCCGAATTTAGTTGTCAACGAAAAATGTGAAAAGGCGACCCCTATACTTGTGAGGTGGTACGGGTAATGTACATTAAAGATCAACAAGTATATCGAGATATTATATTCAATATGACCTATCTGCAGTTTTCACAAGAGTGAGATTATATAAAGATCCACCTTGGACTTAACCGTCATCCATGAGGTTTATGCTGACCTTGTATATAGTTTTTTAGAAGAATTAACAAATTAATTTTAAAGTTAAAATTGCATTCAGTGATGACAGTTAAGTCTCAGCTGGGTTCTAACATAAAAAAGTGTTTTTTGTAAAAACTGCAGATAGGTCATATTGAATATAAGCCCTAGATATGTATGTATTTATAAATGGAAAAAACTTTGTTATCTAAATTTTAGCTGCATATCTATAAGGCCTACATATCTATAGTAAAAATGCCCATTCATGTATTTTCTATTTTTTTAATATTTTCCCCCCACAGGTCTCTGTACCATCGACTGGCCAAAAGGCTTTGGATTTGATGTGTGGCAGTCATATGGCAGCGCGTTGTAGCCCAACAAAATGGTTTGACTTCATGGGCGATAAAAATAATGTTTATGTACCATTTCAAATTACCTATATACAACATGAAAATAAATCAACTATAATTGATGGACGTCGTCCTTTAGATCCACAAACTACACCCTGCAATGAAAAACTTGATGTAAGCTGCGCCAACCTACTTTCTAATGAAATATTTTCCAAAAACTTTTATTTATTTTCGAACTTTTCTTTTATAGAATAAAACTGCAGCCTGTGGTTGCAGTGATTGTGAAGCATCCTGCCCAGTACCGGTACCAGAGCCACCACGTCGTGAACCATTTAAAATTGCAGGATTAGATGCATTTGCTGTTATAATGACTGCGGTCTTTGTAGTAGGCACCATACTCTTTCTCATGGGCGTTTGCCTATTTCCCTCTAAGCGAAGCGAACGTAAGTTAATTTGTTTACGAAGAAAAATATTGGCGCATGCATTTAAATATAATCAAATGAGATCTCTCACATGGTGGGTCTGATGAAGGCAATTGCGACTGCATGCTTAACTCATATAAATTATTTTTTTTTAATATTTTCATACCTTTCTTTTTTTAATTAAATTAATACGAAATTTTAATGAAACTTTACGGTATTGAAAAAGTGAAAATGTTTTACGTCTGAAAAGGCAGGTAAGGCTAGCCTTACAATAAGGTAAACACATGCTATAGAAAAGAAAATTGGAGAAGAAAAGTAAAGTACATTAATACGGTCTATCGAAAGGAAATGTAAAAGTATTAAACAGCAGGATCTTGGCGGGTTCCAGAATTCCGATTCCTGGGAATTTCTCGTGCAGTAGGCCGCAACAGCCCCAAATGCTGAGATCGGCGCGGAAACGGAAAAATTCGGGTCATCGTCAACACTGCCACTAAAAGCAGCTGTTTTCGATTGACCGAGCAAAATGAGAATTCAAAGGTCTTACGATATTTATTACCGACCCTGTCTTTTCGAACGTCCACACTGTATTGGTGATTATTTGCTGGGATGGACGAGTGTCGCATAACCTTTGCGTATTACGCGAGATGCAGCCACTGAAGATTACACAATTTTCATAGGACAAATTAATAATTTGAGCGCGTTGTACCTTTGTAAAACGTTATATACATGTGCATTTATTGTGAAATGGAAGACCTTAGTAGAAGGTCTATTATGAATGACACTATCATTTCACAAATGTTAAATGTAAGTGCTTTGCTTTCAAAGATGCGAAATGGATAGCCCATATTATATGCAATTCGTTTTTTCAACAATTTCTTTATGCAGTGCCACAAATTGTGACTTTTTACTGCAACATAATAAACGTGGTATATGTACAAAATTTTCCTCCAGCCACTACCCAGATCTGAAGAATATCAAAAATAAGGAGACACGTATTTTTTTATTTTGAAATCGATTAATATTTACCTGTGCCGCCGGGGCTTTGAAGTTTCCCATGTATTTTACATGGGGAAAATACATTTTTTCGTAAAATTGCTATAAAATCGCTAAAAATAAATATTTTTTTTTTATCGAATAAGACTATATTTGCCTTCAGAAGTCTTCAAAAAATAACACTATGATGCTTATTTAACTTAAAAATATTACTAAGTGTGTTCCAGTAACCGATAATCCCATCTGTTATACACAAAAATTAGTTACCGCATCACATACGAACAGCTCACTGGATGTGCTTAATTCTTTTTTGCATTCCACTTGATGTTTTCTGTAGGTTTGTGGTAAAAAAATTTGAAAAATAGGATTGCCAAATATTAGAAAATTTAAAAATAAGTCAAAGGTCAATACAATATTTAAGTTTCCTTATCAAAACTAAAAGCGTTTAAAGATATTTACAAATATTTCTCAACGGGGTTGCTCCTTTCTAAAAAAATAGAACAATGATTATTAAAAATTTAAGCTTATTTAAAACTACAATATGGGTATCACACGAATGGTGTACGCATAAGCCTTGGACTAACATATTTTTAAATAGGGTTTCCACCTATCTGTTTACTAAGATGAAGTAATTATGTAAGTCAAGTGAAATGATGCAATATTCATTTTTGCACATTTGATAGTTTGACATGATATCGACGATATATCGCACTCATTTGAATTTTTTAGATAGGTGCCAACTCTATCCAGAAATATGTAGGGGATAAACTTAATTTTTTTTGCTTGAAACTCATATTTTACTTAACCGCATGTAGCATGATTTAAAAAAAAATTTTATTATAGAATTAAAGTATGTATTTTCGAAAACCTTTGCTGGGAGTGCATAAACTTTCAATTTGATACCCATATTGTGGCATTAAGTAAGCTTAAATTTTTAATAATCGTTGTTGAATTTTTTATAAAGGTGGCAGCCCCGTGCAAAAATGTTTTGAAATCTTTTCATCTCGCTTTTAGTTTGGATGAAGGAACTTAATTATTTTATTGAACCTTTAAATAATTTTGAATTTTCAGATATGTTTCTGGCAACACTATTTTTCATTTTTTTTTACCAAATCCCCATAGAATTAATCGAGAAGAATGCAAAACAAAAATAAACCAGCAAATGGGCTGTTCGTGCGGATGTGGTTATGAGAACATAAAATATCTAATGTTTGTATATAACAGATAGGATTATCGGTTATTAAAACACACTAAGTAAAATTTTTAAGTTAAATAAGCGTCATAGTGTTATTTTTTGAAGACTTCTGAAGGAAAATAGTCTTATTCGATCAAAAAATATTTATTTTTCAACGATTTTATAGCAATTCTACGAAAAAATGTATTTTCGCCATGTAAAATACTACATGGAAATCTTCAAAACCTCGGCGGCACGGGTAAATATTAACCGATTTCAAAATAAAAGTATTCGTGTCTCCTTATTTTTGATATCCTTCAGTTCTGGGGGTGGCAGCAGGAAAAATTAAAAAAGTAAATTTTCTTATGTATTTTTGGACCACCTTAAGGTAAAAATGTATTTGTCGAAAAGAGCATAGCGCAGACTACATCAGGGAAATAAGCATGCATATGTGCCTAAACATGATTTGAAATAAAACAACTGGAAATAACCATAAACTTTTGAATATATTTTTGTTTTATAGATGTAAATAGTAGTAGCCAAAAACAAAACATATCTTCAATATAAAAATCTAAATATAAGTATATGTGCATGCCGAAATATTTTAAATTTAACTTAACAAAACGTACTTCTTTGCTCTTTTAATTATTAATATGCTAACCTTTCTTAAAAAAAAGTTGGTTAATTCTATTCGACATGGAGTCCACCAACTGTTTCAATGGCAATGGGGTTATTTCATTCCACTTAACCAGCAAAGTTTCTGAATTGTTTAATGGTCTCTGACTGCCGACCATTCTTGCTCGAAAGTAGGTTCCACAAGTCCCCAATTGGGTTTAGGTCCGGTCTGACCGCTGGCCACTCAAAAACTGGTAATTGGTATATTTCTAGATGAAAGAAGATCGTTTGTGGTGCGTGCAGTATGTGTTGGTGCATTGTCCTGCTGAAAAGTCCAAAAATCTTCAGAGAGATTCCCAGCAAATTTAATAAGCTTTCCAGCATATGAAAAAGCTAAACAAATCATTAGAAAACCGCCGCGGTGATTGCGTCTATGGCGAGTTTGCAAGGTTGCCAGTACTTGTGCCAGCCAACAACAACAACAACCGTTTGTTTTTTTCGTCATAAAAAATTACGTTTTGGAAATCATTTGTTCAAAATTTCAACTTTTCAGCAAACGCAAGCCGTACGTTTATATGGTAGGGTAGCTCAGTAGCTTGGGTACAGATTCCCAGGACTCATATTTAACCGTTTTATTCTCTGTCAAGACTTGAGAGACTCTTATTCAGCTTAATTTGCTTATATAAAATGCCTATTTTTCGTAATATATATTTTAGTTTCTACTCATTACTACCACAAAACTAAATTAAATTGAAAATTTTATGGTCATTTACAGTTGTTTTATGTTATGTATGTTGATGCACATATGTACATATATTTAGGTATTTTTGCCGAACAAAATTATTGTTCGACACGTCTAAGCAAAGGTAATGGAGTTATATTTTTTTTCGCCAGCTATACAATCGCTAAAAGTAGAGCATTATTGAGAAGCCTCTTATAAAAGTTGGATACTTCGTACTTGCTTTTCGACCCGTCATCGCCATTGCTACCTTATTTTTTTTTTTCAAAGCGTAACCGTTCCAAGTAAAATATTTATGATAATTGTGTGATGACTTCGAAAAAAAAAAAATATCCTTATTAAGAAATAGTGAGGGGACGCCAAAAACGAAACTTCTGTAAAGTTGAATTCATACAAAAAAAAAAAAAGCAAGTGAACCTAGAATCCTTGTAGATACTGGCTAATTTATTTTGGCCACTACAAAGTTTTTAATGATATTAATACTCGTAATAGATATAATGTTAAGATAATTACGCTTTCAACTGCAAATTAACTAAACTGCTAAAGGTGATTTTGAAAATTCATTTCATATTTGAGAGAAATAAAATCGAGTGTTGCCCTTGGCCATACACTTCTAAATGCCGCTAATGCTTTAGCTTATACTATACTTTATTTTTTTCTTAACTAATATTTATGTATGTGATCTTCTTATGCATTGGTTATCTAGTAGGTGATGGTTTGATGAATAGTGGTGGGCTTTGTAGCGCCACAGTTAACAACCGATTTACTGGTGGACAAGTGAGTAACGAGTTTGCACCCGAGGAGGATTCCCCACTTCAATCACAACTGGCCAGTATGTTGAATTTGAAAGTTATGAAACAAATTTAGTGTTGTAGATATGATTGTGAAATCATGTTTCGAAATTGATTTGCTTTGTGTAAATATCTGCTGCTGTCCATCTATTTATATTTCAAAAACAGTTTTCGCAACTGTGTGTGTGTGTGTGTGTGTGTCTGCGTGCGTGTTTATGTGTGTTAATTGGTTTTACTTTTCATTTTCGTTATCGCTATAAACTGTAGAAATATTAATAACTGTAAAAGAGTTAGCGCTGTTAAGCATTTTACTAAAGGAAAAAAAAAAACGTTAGTTCCCATTTCATTGCATTGTAAGCACGCATCTTTAAAGAACGTCGTTAAATTTGTAAGTAGAAAAGTATTTTGCACTTTTTCATGTTTAAATTCTCCAAAAAAACCGTTTGAAATTTCCCCAAAAAAATTATACACACGAAGAAAGGCGCGCCTGTGTTTTTGTCGGCGAAAAAAGACGTGTAAAGATAATCTTACTAAAAAAGACGCTTAAGGAAAACTTCGGCGAAGAAAGACGCGTAAACATAGATTTATACCTGGCCAAAGACTGTCCCTTCAGCATCATTCCCTAAAAACTCTTTGGGGAATGTTACACCTGCAAACATAGTCGACCGCGAAAATAAGTATACGGGTCTTTCTTGGCCGTCAAATATTTTAACGCGTCTTTCTTCGCCGTCAACTATATTAAGAGTCTTTCTTCGCTGAAGTTTTATTTTTGCGTTTTTTTTCGCGGTCAACTTTTGAGCTTGCGCCTTTATTCGTGTCTAGTGACGATTTACAATAAATAACTCGCTGGTATAATAAAAAAAAAATTCTTTATTTATTCTTTTGTATATCGTAAATAGTAGGGCTGGGAGTTATAACCAAGTTTTTTAAATATCCGGATAATTTGAATATCTCATTAAAAAATCCGAACAAATGGATATTAACCGGATATCCGGATAACAAAATATAACATATATTAATCGAATATACGTGTAAAGGCGGTATTTTTAACACTGGAAAAGCTTTTTAAACCCGCGAGCTAAGAAATTCAACTTATGCCAAAAAATTAGCATTCGCTAACCAAATCGCGAGTATTTTATAATTTTACAGAAAATGTAAATATGTATGTTTATATGTAAAAATTAAACTGGTGAAAAAAATGAATCAGTGAAAAGCGAGCAGTCTTTTTTTTTTCTAAAAATGCGACTGAGATTTATTTGTAGTAGCGATCTGAATTTTTTTTATGACAAAAATTTTGATCTGGTAACAATTTTGAACGGAACGGACTTACTTGAACAAATTTCTCAACTCGTGAGCTGAAAATTACAATCGGGACAAAAAATAAGGATTCATTAACCAGATTGCGAGTACTTTATAATTACCTATACATATGTATATTAGGGTGCATCATTCACTCATTCATTAAAAAAAATAAAAATCGGTACAGTTTTTACATTGGTATTATAAAATTTATTTCGGAAGATTTAGTGAGCTGCACCGATTTGAAAATACCTTCCAAAATCGAGTATTCTATAAATATAATATATTACATATTGGGGCATATTCTTATTTTCATACGAATCGAAAATCATGAAATTTTCCTATCATTTTCTATACAAAAATTTCAAATTTTCGATTCGTACGAAAACAAGAGTACACCTGGTTAGTTACATAATTAGTTTAAATTTTTATTTTTTTTCTAAAAAAATCAAAAAATAACGACATTTTTAAAGGATTTTCAAATCGATTTAGCTCACGGAAATCTTAATAATTTTGCATTTTGGCGGAAGTCTTTAAATACAATAAATTTTAAAGTTCCGGTAGAAAAACCACAACTTTCCTTTGGAAATGCACCTCAGTGTACATATATAAAACAAGAATTTTTTCTAGCTCGTGGACTTAAAAAAAATTTTCGAAAGACTGTTGTAAATTTTCCAATTCGCGTGTTAAAAAATTAAACTCGTGCCAAAAAAAAAAATAATTAGTGACCCAAATGCAAGGAGTTAATTTTTTTTAAGAAATTAAGTATATTTAAACTCATGAAATGACAAAAAACAACCATGATGCAGAGGTGATATAGGTTTGATGCTATCAAATTATGGACTTTCACTTGTCAAACTCTTCTTCACTCCAAAGTGATTTTTTAATAGTTGCTAATTCACTACTTACTACTAAATACTAACATTTACAAATACTAAAAAACCATTTTCCCCTCTTAATTAGAAAACTGATAATTAAAATCTCCAAGACTTCAACAATTAATTGCACAATTAAGTATGTAGTTTGAAGATGCTGACGAAACTTTCACACTGCTCGTTATTAAGTTTTATTTTCTTCATATTCTCTGCTAATAATGTATCAACTCACTTCAAAGCTTCGCTATTTGTGTGGAATTTTTTTTTAACAACTTTTCCTTTAATTGGGTATATATGAAATTTATTTACAAATTTTGTATGCTAACACTTTCTTCTCTAATTTTATTTTTTTGTAGATGATGAAAATGAAGTCGACGGTGCTCAGGCACAACTTGATGAATATGAAATTGGTTATTTTGAAAATCTCGGCGCTAAAACCGAAAAGTGTCTCGAAGCCTTTTTCACAGCTTGGGGCAAATTCTTCGCTAAACGTCCAAAAATTACGCTAATCGGTGGCATTTGTTTTGTCATAGCCATGGGTTATGGTATCAAGTTCCTGCATATCACTACCGATCCAGTGCAATTATGGGCTTCGCCACAATCAGAATCACGTATTGAACGGGAATTTTTCGATTCGCATTTCCAGCCCTTCTATCGCATCGAACAGGTGAGTGAGTGGATGGATTGAAGAACTTTTTTGATGTGTATTGCGTGTTAATAATTTTCGAAGGAAAAAATATAGGTACACGGGAGTTTTTCCAAGACAAAAATAAAAGAACCCCGCATAAATAAAATGTGGACAGAATATAATTTTTAAAATTTTGCGAGTAATTCGAATATTGTAAATATCCTAGAGCGATTCGAAAAAATATAACTTGAAAAAAAAAGTTTAGAAGAAAATAATGTAATAAGCTATTCGAAAACGCTCGTGAAATGAAAAAAAATAATTAAAATATTTTGCGAGCAAAGACTTAAGATAAACAAGTAAGAAAGTCTTAAGTTCGGGCGGAGCCGAACATTAAATACCCGGTGCAAGTATTAAATATATGTTTTTTCGAAACCTACCGCTAGATGGTAAGCCGGGGTGTATCAATTTTGAGTAAATTAGCGTCCTTAAATTTCGAAATATTGAAGTTTCAAGCATTTATGAAATTTACCGTTATATCAAAAGCGGCCGTAATTTTAGCCCGATTTCAATAATTTTCAACGTTTTGCTTTTATGTGGCAAGCACAATAAAAATAACGAGTTTGGTACAAATTGGTAGAACGGTTGCCGAGATACATATGATACAGATATGTGATCATAAGTGGGCGCTGCCACGCCCATTTTCCAAAAATTTTACCCTAAGCGTATTTCTTGGTAAAGAATTGTTGCAAGCATCAATTTTTAATAAATTAGCTTAAAAATTTACTGATTTTTCGAAGATTTTGTATATCTTTAAATTACCGTTATATTGGATGTGGGCGTGGTTATTGTCCGATTTTTTAAATTTTCGGTCATTTAGTATGCTGTACCAAGGCCCAACAACTGTGCCAAGTTTGGAAGAAATTGGTGCAGCGGTTACCAAGATATACACCTGTAACCATAATTGGGCGTGGCTGCGCCCATTTTTTAAAAATTTATAATATTCTTATTTTTCGTCTGAAACACACAACACTGTGCACAAGTGCGCTCGGGTATAAAAATGTCATAGAAATTATAATTTCGCCTAAACCGATTCGGACAAAAGAAAATTCGGGAATCATAAAACGAGGAAAAAACTATAAAAGGTTTAGAAAAAATATAAATTTTGCTATCAATTCGAGGGTAGAAATCATTTTAGATCACTTCGAAAAATTAATTATAAATAAAAAAATAAAAATAAAATGAATAAAAGAAATTAAGTTCTAAAAGTAAAACTTAAAGCTTCGAAAGATAAAAATTAAAGTTCAGGAGCAGTTCCAGAGTAAAAATCGCTTTGGAGTGATTCGAAAAAAGAATAATTCGTGAATACGAAGTACAAAAATAAAGATTTCGAAAGAGAAAGTTAATATTAGTTATACGAAAACCGCTCGAGAGCGATTCGGAAAAATATTGTACATCTTACATCAAATATACTTCTTTGATATTCCAGATTATAATCCACGCAGTCGATTTGCCCGATATTATGCACAACACCTCTAATGGTCCACTGCATTTCGGTCCAGTTTTTGACAAAACTTTCCTCACGCAAGTACTCGAGTTGCAGGAAGAAATTATGAATTTAGGACGGAAGGAAAATGGCACAGTATTGGAGGATATTTGCTTTTCGCCTTTGTCAAGCGAGGGAACAAAGAAGGATAGTTCGCAGTGTATTGTGCAATCGATTTGGGGATATTTTGGCAATGATGTCGAACGTTTGGATGAAACCGATGAGGATGGCGATTTCGAGGTAATCTAGGAGTGCATAGAAAATGTTTGATTTTTCGCATACACAATTCTTTAGCAGGAATTTATTTATAAATCATGATACAATTTTTGGTGTTTTTTTTATTATTTTATATAATATTTGATTTTTCGATTGCCCTCAACCGATAGTCTGATTAAATTTGATCGAAATATCAAAATAAATACGAGCATGCATATACACACATACATATAACCGAATAAATTTGAATCAAGTTATAACGAGTAAATCCATAATAACAACCCATATGTCCCCTGCTAAAGATGCTTTGTTTTCATTTCGCATTTATTATCTTTACTTTCGCAGATAACTTACTTGGATGGCTTGTATCAATGTACGCGGAATCCGTACCTTTGTCTGGCCCCCTATGGCGGACCAGTAGATCCAGCTGTCGCCTTGGGTGGCTTTTTGCCGCCTGGTGAACAACTTTCCGGCGATACGAAATACGAGCGCGCAAATGCCATCATTCTCACATTCCTTGTTAACAATTATCATGATAAGAGCAAATTGCGCCCTGCATTGGAATGGGAGCAACGTTATGTGGAGTTTATGTTGAATTACACAAAAACTCGCATGAGCAAACATATGGATATTGCCTTCACTTCGGAACGTTCGATTGAGGATGAATTAAATCGCGAGTCGCAGTCCGATGTTATGACAATACTTGTTTCATACTTAATCATGTTCGCTTACATTGCCATTTCATTGGGGCATGTGCAGGAGATACGTCGAGCGCTGATCGATAGTAAAATTACATTGGGTGTTGGTGGTGTAATCATTGTGTTGGCATCCGTAGTGTCTTCGGTAGGCGTATTCGGCTACATTGGCGTACCAGCAACACTTATTATTGTCGAAGTTATACCATTTTTGGTTTTAGCTGTGGGAGTGGATAATATCTTCATATTAGTGCAGACTTATCAGCGCGATGCACGTCGCGCCGATGAAACACACGAGGATCATATTGGTCGCATTTTAGGTCGCGTTGGCCCATCAATGTTGCTGACTTCGGTTAGTGAAAGCTGCTGTTTCTTCCTTGGTGGACTCTCCGATATGCCTGCGGTGAGGGCTTTCGCTTTGTATGCTGGCATGGCGCTGCTTTTCGACTTTTTACTACAAATTACCTGTTTCGTCAGTCTGCTAACACTCGACACCAAGCGGCAAGCTGAAAATAGATTGGATATTTTCTGCTTTATACGTGGCAAGAAAAGCGACGCTCTACCAAACACTGTGGGTCTACTGTACAAGTTCTTTAAAAGTGTTTATGTACCATTCCTAATGCAAAAGACTATGCGTGTCATTGTTATGATTGTCTTCTTTGGTTGGCTATGCAGCAGTGTTGCTATAGCGCCACGCATTGAGATCGGTCTCGATCAGGAGCTGTCAATGCCGCAAGATAGTTTTGTGCTACACTATTTCAAAGCGCTTAACAAATACTTGAGTATTGGACCACCGGTTTACTTCGTTTTGTCATCCGGCCTGGACTTTTCCAAAACATTCCATCAAAATCTCGTTTGTTCCGGGAAATTTTGCAATGATGACAGTGTACTAACGCAGGTTTACCTAGCCAGTCGTCGTGCAAATGTGACCTACATTGCGCGTCCTGGCTCCAGTTGGATTGATGACTATTTTGATTGGAGTCAGTCGTCAAGTTGCTGCAAATATTTCCCCGAAACTGGCGATTTTTGTCCACATCAGAGTAAGTTTCCATTGGGTTTGTTTTAGCATTATCAATGCACAGGAATATTTAAAAGATTAGTTCCGTTTTTTTTACTGATTGCTTTAAAAATCGAAGGACGTGGATGGCGTATCCGAATGTTTGATTTATTTATTTATTTTTTTTTTTCATTTCCATTTCCAGACACTGCCTGCTCCAGCTGTGTAATCAACAAAACTGAAATGCAACGTCCTACAGCGCATGATTTTGGCAAATATCTAACTTACTTCCTACGCGATAATCCTGACGATAGTTGTGCTAAAGCTGGTCACGCTGCTTACGGCAATGCTGTACAATATAAAACTAATCCAAGTACAAATTTGTCAACCGTCGAAGCATCCTATTTCATGGCTTACCATTCCATATTGAAAACATCAGCTGACTACTATGAAGCGTTACGTGCCGCACGCAAAATCTCCGCCAATGTAACAAATATGTTGCGTGGCCGCTTAATGTCACAAGGCGTGCCGCTCGAACAAGCGCTTGATGTCGAAGTATTTCCATATTCGGTGTTTTACGTATTCTACGAACAGTATTTAACTATGTGGCCTGACACACTACAAAGCATGGGCATTTCAGTGCTGGCGATATTCATTGTCACTTTTGTTTTAATGGGTTTCGATATACACTCATCGTTGGTGGTGGTCATAACGATAACAATGATTGTTATAAATCTCGGTGGCATTATGTATTATTGGAATATTTCGTTGAATGCTGTATCGCTGGTGAATCTGGTAATGGCTGTTGGTATCTCGGTAGAGTTTTGCTCGCATCTGGTGCACAGTTTCTCAATTTCAATGGAGAAAACACGTGAGAAGCGTGCAGCGGATTGCCTCACTAAAATGGGCAGCTCCATATTCTCTGGCATTACGCTGACTAAATTCGGCGGTATTTTGGTTTTGGCTTTTGCCAAAAGTCAAATTTTTCAAGTATTTTATTTCCGTATGTATTTGGGCATTGTTTTGATTGGTGCTGCTCACGGACTCATATTCCTGCCGGTGCTTCTCAGCTATATTGGTTAGTGATCAAAAATCAAATATCTAACAATATCAAAAATGGTTTGTTTTTGATATTTAACGTTTTTGAACTAATTCTTATTTTATGCTTTCGTTTCTTTCTTCGTTTTTTTTTTCTTTATAAATAGGCGCTCCCATTAACAGAGCCAAGCTGGTCAATTATCAACGACAGGCGTATAAAGTGCAAGAAACATCACTATCTACGGTAAGATTTGTATAGAAATCAGTTTGATTTGTGTTTATAGTTTGAACGTGATGTATGTATGCACCTTAAATAGGCGTGTAACCTGAACAATTTTTTTGGTAGGTCTTTCAGTCAGAATTTGAAGCACCAGCATGAGGAATTGATTAATGCTATAAACCAGGGTTGGGCAAGCAAAGAGTGCATTTATTATATTATACTTACACGGGATATTATGACTTTGTTAACCTCATAGCAACCTAAAGGAATGTCTCAGAATGAAAAGACTGATTAAGCCGTTCGTGGCTCCGTTCTTTTGCGTGTGCCCACGATAGCTATATAAATGCACGGGTATGTCAGAACAAGATACATTACGAGCTGAAAGGTCTTTTGCATCTCTAACGAGAGTCCCTAATCCAGTATGTCCAAGGCACATTCGGCTTCCCTAGTGAATCTTAAAAGAGCACTAGGAGTATAATTCCTTATTTGTGGGGCTTGACTAATGGAGTTTTGTAGTCAGTTAATCTTTGTCTAGCTAAGGCTGTACGAAAGTTTCTTCGTCTTCGAGGCAGATCTAGCATTCCGACTCGCCGATAACATGTTTTCGGCGCATATGAAAAATTTCAGAAAGTGGCGATGCCTCCGAGCACTTCTTATAAAATATTCATATGTCGTTAACCACTTAACTGATTTCTCTGAAATTTTGTGGATATGTTGAGTTTTATGAGTACTTTTTCTTAGTAAAAATCTCAAAAATAGGTACTTTAATTTCAACTAACTTTTTCTATGTAATTCATACCTAACTATTCTTTCTATTTATTAAAGACGTGATGCGATTCGATAATTTACCAAAGATACGAATGTCCATCAAGTCCAAAAAACATCATCCAATCAACACAATCAACAAGTTTATTAGCATTTTTTCATCAATATATAAGTAGGGCGTGTCTCGATGGCGCAGCGGTGGAAGTATGAGTAGCGTAACGGATTCTGATATGAAAATCAATAGCATCGTCGTCGCCAGTCAAAAAATATGGAAAATGCCAACGGAGAAGAGTGGAGAAGCAGAAGCGAAACTTTATTTGCACTTGTAACAGTTCAGGATATATATAAAATATAGGGTACAAAGGAAATATGTATATGTAAATGTATGTATGATTTTTTATCTAATTTATCATCGAAAGCGAATGTAACAAAAGAAAAAAAAAAACAACGTGTATGTAGTAGATGAGAAAGACAGAACGAACCGACAATTTTTCATAGTAATTTTCACAATTAGCTGATCGAGTGAAGATGTTCGTAAAAAAGGCTCTTGTAAAAGAAAGCAACAAGCACCAATATTTACCAGCCTAAATCGAACTCTGTGATAAACTTAGATACAGGAAATAAATGACAACACACAAAAAAAAAGCAAGAATAAATAAATAAAACCATATTTGTATTAAACAAAGAAAAAATCAGATATACAACATTTCCATAGACTGGTGAACTGAATAGCTTTTGCTGGAAACTAGAATGTGTTACTGAGTTTAGAAAGCCTCTAATATTTTTTTGTTTGGCATATTTATTCACACACATACATACATAATAATAATAGTGCATTTTTTAATGTACATTGTCTACAAACATAGCATACACTTAGCATTTATACAAATTGTTTTTTCGAATATTGCTTTGAAGCGAATGGAAATTAATTTTTAACACGTCTCCTTTTTGGCATGTTTATGAAATTTTGTATACAAGTATGTTTATAATTTTTGTATACATTTTAGCTTACCATATTTAACTATTTTAGTGTACTGCAATTTCAGAAAGGCCTTAGAACTTTTTCCATTGTAGGTTAAATGCACTTAATTTCATTCTAATAAAAAGCGCATGCAATATTAGCTGAAGCTGCGTGGTAATCGACTTTATATCTTTTTAAACCGTTATTCGATAGACTGAGTTTTTAGTTTCTATGTAGCTTTCATATTCGAACATTGTCAATGAAAAATCTTGGTTTTGTTTTGGTTTTTTACGCATAATTTTGTATTGAGTTGTTTTCGAATTCCTTTTGGAATGATTTTAATTTTCGTGTGTTAAAAAATATTAAAACTGTGCTTCAAGTTAACTAAATTGTCCATGGAAAATTAATGCTTGTAAACACTCACTTAGGAAAGTTTTCGATTAGCGTTAGAAAAATGAACATTTTAGATTTATGAATCAGCTACATAAAGAAAATAAACAAAATTTTATTTTATTACAAAAACTTATGGATTTATTTGTACTGTAGTTGTTTTAAGTAGAATCATCTTAGGGTACGTACATAAAAAAGACCCGGTTGTTGTTTACACTGAACAAGATGCACCGGAGCTTTTCGCAGGGAATTGGCTGCAAATTTGTATAATTGAAAAAGCTTGCTGTATGAACACTTTCGTATATGTATGTGCATAAATAACTACAGTAATTTGAAGCTTTCATTACGCTCGGCTTGACTCCGCTTCCTGTGTGTATGTACCCTTAGGCACTCCGCACATTACGCGCCTAATCATAGTAGAGTAATTGTTTCGTCATGCCGAAACGAATGCATGACGACTCAACTTCTGCACACTTGTGCGCCCTGCATAAGCCCTGCTGGCACACACATAACACATTTTCTGGCCGATCTTTCTCACTAATACACTTCCACAAATATTTCGGCTATAAAATATTGCTTAAACGCTTATGGTTTAATACAATTGGGACGAATTTTAGCACAAAATCATCATTTTTCAATTATTACCTATTGAAATGTAAACTAATTTTTATTTCCAACACAAAAAAGTAAACAAATGCCGATTTAAAAACGACCAGCACCTTACAATGGGCGCGTTTCTAAGACGCAACTGTTTACCTCAACTGTTTCTGAAATGCTGTCAACTATAGAGTTCAACAGTTACGTCTTAGAAACGGTATGATACATAAACTGAGAAAACATTTGTAAACAAGCAAAATTAAATAAAACAGCATAAAAAAAATATTAAGCCAAAAATATGTATAGCACAGGATTTATAATGGAGTTTTTCTTATTTTATTTTTAATATATGTATTTGCACGTGTGGTTTATTTTATTAACAGCCAGTTTCGCCAGCAATTTACAGACAATTTTTTTTTTTTTAATTTGAATTTTCTATGAAAACTGACGGAGGGGAAACATCATTTTTGACTTAAATAAATTGTTGACTTCATGTAGCGAAATAATTTTATGATGGAAAAAATGGTGTAAAGTTGCCAACCGTTGAGCTGAGCGGAACTACTCAACTGTGCGTTTCTGAAACAAACACTTAACAGTTTAGCAACAGCTACGTCTTAGAAACGCGCCCAATGTTTGGGCGCTTCGATTCGTGAAGCTTTAACGATTAGGCGAAAACATGATTATGAATCATAATATACAGAGCTTTATTGAAATACATGTGTTCGGTATAAAAGCTTCATTACACTACTATGACTAGGCGCTTCATATGCGGAGTGCCTTAGATTTGCTCGAAGGCCTTCAAAGTTCTAGGAAACTCAACACAAACAAAATTTTTTAGTACTGTTATAGCGTTTTCTTTTCTCGAAATAATGTTGCATTTATTCTGCCCTGCGCCAGGGCTGTCAGGTTTTCGTGTTCTTTTCTCAGCATCTTCACATGCATATTGCGTGCTCTTTCTTTAAAATGTTGCACTGTGATAATGTTGCCACATAAGAAGGTGACATTTTTTTCGAGAAAAGAATACGCCATTAGTATATATACAGCCAGTCAAAAAAGTTTAGGTACAGCGAATTTTTTACAATACCGGCAACTATTTTTTAAATATTTTATTTTTCGCAAATTTCTTTATAAAAATATGGTTAATTCTACGACAAAAACCCCAAAAATCAGAGTTCCAAACCTCATGCAATGTTAAAGGAAATTCTGCAAATTTTCATGCAAATATTGCACTTCTTATTTATGCTCTTTAGAAAAAAGTTAGTGCGCCACTTTTTAGCCCATTTAATTTTATTATAACAAAGTGGAAGTTTGAGGTAGCTAGGACTTCCCACTGACTTTTAGCAATTTTTTTTTGAAGGTGTCGCTAATTTTCTACATATAAAATAATGTGCAATATTAGAATTGAATTTTCCAAAATTATCTTTAATATTGCACAATGCTTGGAACTCTGATTTTTGGAGTTTTTGTTTTAGAATTAACCATATTTTTATACAAAATTGGAGAAAAATAAAATATTTAAAAAATAGTTGCCCATAACGCACCTAAACTTTATTGACTGACTACATATGTATGTATATAAGATATATGCAAGTATTGTTTTTATATTTCTTAGTAAATTTCACTCTCATATTTAGTTTTGGTATTTATTGGTGCTTAAGCACTACATACATATGCATCGTATGTTGAAAAGTTTAAAAAACAACAACAACAAAAACTGTGAATATTAGCAGCGAGAGCAAATAAAGTATTAAAGGGTTTAGAAAATATATTTGTATTATATTTATTAGTTAAAAATTTAATGTGGCCTTCTTTAATTGAAAACAAAAAAAAAAACTAGAAACAACACGAAATGAATATAAACAAAGACTACTATGAATTGGAAAATATTATGAATGAAACTGCAATGTGTAAAAATATAGTAATAATAATAATAATAATAATAATAAAGAAAGATCTTAAGAAGACAAGAGAAGAAAATGTTGTTTGTAAAATGTATGTATTGTAAAAACGTGTAACGAGAAGTAACAATAATTAAAAATAAATAAAAAAAAACCAAAAACGAATCAAAACCGAAAAGTGAAGTTACATAATCACACAGACAAATGCATACACACCACGCATTCATACACAATATGACGCATAATCATAGTTAAGAAAAAGTGGGCTCTAACTGAGTTAGCGCATAGATTAAGTTTATTATAGTCGTGCTAGTGCTTGCTTTTTCACTTACGAGTCGACTCGAATGTTAGAGAGTGACAAAAAACTGTTAACTATGGCTAGCACTAAATCATTAGTCTTGTTTGTTTTTCGCATATATGTCGTAATTTTGTGAACATATTTGTGAAAATGCCTTTTATGAATAACAATAAAACGGAATTTCGGAATTTTAAAGAATGAAGAATTATTTAGATTTTCGTAATAGCAACGAAAGAAAAGTTTATTGCAGGTAAATCTTGGACAAAACGCCTATTTCATAATTTTGCTTCTTTAAAATTACGTTTCCAATTCCAGCGGCAAGTTCGAAAACGTCTTGTCTCGGAAAATTTTTCAAAAATTATTTAAGAATTTTATTGAAAAACACCCTATCTCGGAACTGGTTTGAAGAACGCCCTATCTCAGAATTCGGTTCAGAAATAGGGCTTTTTTGAATTGGCAGCTGAGATAGGGCGATCTTCCACCCAGGTATCGATATGTTGTTAAAATTGGCCTCGCCGTAGCTTATAACCACAAAAAATTGAAATATCATCAAGGTAGGCACGTTGACATAAAACATCTAATCTACTGCTTTTGTAATAGAATTTTGTGTTAGAATATAGTACCAAACTGACTAGGGATACACATGAAAACCTAGTGGTATTACTCTTAACTAAAGTTGGCTCTAACTGAAGACTATGATTATGCCCCAATAATATTTTTATATGTAATTATGATACAAGCACACATTCAAATAATACCAACCGATATGTGTGGGTGTATCTATTAAACTTTTCTGTATGGATTCGTATACTGTGTAGATCTACACTATATATACATACATACATACATATATACGTATATTTAGTAACACTTCTCTACATAAATGAATGTTAAACATGAATGACAAATGTGTGTGACAAATATTTAGCTGAAATGGATTTATCAACTATGGACTAAGGAGTTGTAAAGGGAAAAAACCTATTTAGTTCCTGGTATACTGACTACGACAGGTCTTAAAATGCAAAAAAAAATGTCTTTATTATATAATATAACTTGAGAAGTATGTAGATATATTATTGAAATAAAGAGTTCGTAAATATGTGAATTGTGCAACCTTTTTATTATGTGAAATGAAATTGAAAACTAAGTATACACGAGTGGGTGATCAATATATGAGCAATCAGTTGTATGGAAGCTTTAAGTTATAGTGGTCCGATTTTGACGGTTCCGACAAATGATTTATCTATATATATATATAGATGTGAATGTCTGTTTGTTTATTATCTTATAACTTCTGAACAGCGGCACGGAATCGCACGAAACTTTGCACACTTATTTGCTTTTACCCCGGGAAGGTTATAGGCATAGAGAAAAATGGGCAGCACTGGAAAACAGGGCGTGGCACCTCCTATACTAACTAAAATTTTCATGTTGTATATCTCTTGAAATATTTGTGGTAGAGCATTTGTGCTGTCGATATAAATAAAATTAATTCCATACTCATGGGAAAAAATGGGCGGTATTGGAAAAGGGGGCATGAATTATTTAATCAGCTCTAACTTCGTAACCGCAAGTCACATGAACTTGAAATTTGGTATGCAAACATATCTATGGTAGATGCATATCTCAAAGTATATATAAATGAGTTTGTAAAAGGGGGCGTGGCAGATAACATAGGCGTGGAATTTTTAGTCAGTCATAACTTCGGAATCATAAGTCACATGAACTTGAAATGTGGTATGCGGACATATCTATGGTAGGTGCTTATAGTAAGGTATATATATAAATGAGACTGTGAAAGGGGGCGGCAAATCCCAAAGGTGTGGAATATTTTACCAGTTATAACTTCGGAACCATAAGTCACTTTAATATGACATTTAGTATGCAGACATATCTGTAAAAGGGAACGTGGATCATTTCATAGGCGTGGAAGTTTTATTCAGCCATAACTTCTGAAAAGTCACATAAACTTGAAATTTGGTATGCAGACATATCTATGGTATATAGGTGCTTATAGTAAGGTACGCTTTTGATTTTGAAATTTTAGCAAAAGTCACTATAAACAATTTAT